CTGATAAACATGGTAGCTCTTTTGCTGCAGACTGGCCTGTTTACTCCTACGCCGTACTTTCACCTTCTTGAATTCTCCCAAGAAAATAATTTGCTTAAAGCTTTTCAAGATCAGAGGTAATATTTGATTTTAGCAGTGTTATAGTTCATAAGGCAACTTTCAGTCTTGTACTATTGCTAGCAGGTCTAATGAGGTGATCCTGGCAGCTGATGTTAGCTTCTCTCTTGCCCTGACAAAGATGGTTTTCTTAACTGGGTAGAGGTGCTTGCCATAGTTCATCCCACTACAGATGATATCAACTATGGCCTACAAGCAGTAAAACCTCTTTCTCAAACCTGTTTGTAAAGTAAGCTGAAAATGTGCTCTATGGTCCTTCTACTTGGCAAGGAAGAGCAGCTGGTTATTACACTTTCCCCCAACTGAACTAGTTGGGTGGGCTTGGTAGAATGCTGTAGATAGCCTGGATGAATAATTTTATTTAAAGAAACTCTGTTTTCCAAACCTCCACTCACAAAACTCTACTATTCCTTGCTTGCTCCCATCTTGTCCATTATTCCTGCTACTACAAGCTGTTCTGGTATTTTTTAATATTTTTTTTTTAATTTTCTCTTCACCTTTATCATAACAGTGTTGTGCTGCTACTAAGGCCAGTTATGACATACTGTGCTCACCAGTACTCTGCTTTAATCCCATTTCAGCAGTTCATGTCTATAACTTCTGCCTGAGTTATGTACTATCTTCACCCCTCATTACCAGCCTAAGTTATAGTGATTTTTTTCAAGCATAGCTTAGATGTGTCACAAGGCCAAAAGTAGGGGTACCCAGTAAGGATCAAACTCACTACTCAGTCGTAATTGTTCTAGCGAGACAAGCTTGCTAACCATTACACTGCCTCAAGGTGCCCAACCAGCCTAAGTTATGTACCTTGAATTTTTGAGGTTGCTAATAAAGAACTACAACTTTCTGCCTTCCCTGTACAGGATATAATGTTTGTGCTCTGAGTTATTCCGAGTCACCTTCACAAGAACTTAAGTTCTTGACTCTGGATATTGTCTTTATAGCCAAAAATATTTGGTGTATTCTTTGTTATTTACATCTAGACTAACGTTCTGATCTTATAATGTTGGTTCATGAATCCAGTTGCAAAGTAATTGTGAGTTCCATGGAAAGAGGACTAACAATGACTGAGCAATACTAAAACCGAACAAGATGAGATATCCCTAGACATAGACAGCAGAACAAGAACAATTTATCTTCATAGATTGAATAAAGGGTTCAGTTCAAAATTCCCTGAAGATTACCAGAATCTTCAAACATGTGAAGAAGGCCAAAATATGATAACAACAAAGATGTGGACATTAGTCCAAATGTCATTCCAGGAATTCTGACAATTAGTCCACTGCAAGTAGCCATGCTTTTCATCTTTTGGTTGTTCAGATAGATTTTGTCTCTCTCAGGCTCAGTTAAACACCTTTCCCAAATTGTTCATTAATTTCTTGTCTATAACCATTTCTTATCCTGGCACCAGGAATATGGACTTTTACTGGATTAATGCCCATTAGCTACTCTAAGCTCTTCATGATTCACCTACTTCCTAGGATAGAGGTTGTCATAATCAAGTTGACTTAATGAGGGTGGCTCCTATACTAAACTTCAGACTTCATCAGCATGTTCATGAAGTATCAGAAAAGTATTGCTGAAATGGTCCATCTTGTAATAATTTTCTTAAAATTATGCTATTTTGAAGTTGTAGACTTGCCAATGTCTCTTGAAACTAACTGCTGTAGTAGTTCATAATGAGTCTGCCTGAAGTGATGTTTAGTTCTGTGCCTCTTCAATCAGCTTGTCGGATATTGTATTCATAAGTTTTTGAGGTCCAACCAAGGTACCACCATGTTTACATTTGTTCCTTTGGGTTTCTACCATCAACTGAGTTACCATGACCTTGCTCCAGATCTGTCAAGGGCCTGGTAGCAATACTAAAGAATATTTTCCTCAACAGTGAATAGCAAAATGGTTCTTGAACTCCTTTAGAGTCTACACTTTTTCTATATGCATCTGCTTATAAACCACATTGCCCCAGTTTCCTGACCACAAAGCTTGTGGAGTAGGTCTTGTTACCCATGTGCTCTTGCTTTCCTGACCAATGATCACTTCCTCAGCCAGACTCCCTTCCATCAAGTTCCACAGTTGGTGCTGATGGATTGATCAAGGACTCGGTGACCCAGATGTTGCTCTCTGAAGGTCAACACTGAACTGGCAATTGATCTCATCTTTGCAGCATCTAATCTGACAGCTGCTTAGTAGACCCTATGAATTTGCTCAAAAAGTAGTTTTTCTTGTTCTCACCTTCTGATTCAAGTTCTCTCTCAAGGGCATTATCCTTTTTACAGAGGATGCAGCACAGCCCATTGTGAGCCTCTTCAGCTTCTACGTGAAATGTTAAATTTTGCTCACTCTGTGGCCCATGGTGTACAGACGTTTCACTGCTTTCTTCATCTCTAGCTGAAATCTCTTGGCTGATGAGAGTGGTCATTATCAGGAGGTATTGATCAGCTTCACTCTAGTTCATTGCTTCCAACATGGTATCAGAATCTTTGTCAAACTGAAGAACCTTTGTAAGCTTGGAATCACTTGACAGTGTTGTTTTGTTGTTCTTTGTGGGTCTGGATCTGGCTCCTTCATGTAACCAGCAAAGACTTCTATTCATTTCTAAGCATATCAGTCAGTTAAGTGCCACACATGATACACACATGGGCGACCATGTATCTTTCACTACATGACTGATGAGGCAAAAGATTTTCCTCGCAGTAGGTTGCCATTTCGTTCTGCAGTAGGCTGGTTGCCAACCAAGGCTAAAGAACCCAGTCTGTCCTGCTATTCAACCCATAGCTGGGAGGAGAAATGGATTCATACCTTTCCCAAGGGTATTTGTGCATAAGTGACTCTAAATATATATAATAATGTTAGTCCTAAACTAACCTTGTTTTGACATGTAAATGCTTTATGAATTGAGTAACAAGGCAGATTTTTAGTTACTTTTTCTTCCCTTCTATTTAAAATGTTAAATTTTTGTCATACAAAAATAAACATTTTATGGCCTAAAATTTCAAATCATTTCTACAAAAGAGTAAAGTTGTTGGAACCTATTTGCTTTTTTTTTTTTTTTTTTTTTTTTTTTTTTTTTTTTTTTTTTTTGTGAAATCTGTTGATTTTAAATTTCCACAATTCCAGCAAGGGACAAGTTTCTACTTGATTATGTCACTTAAGGAATCTCATCAATTTTTTTTTTGTTTAATCATCATTTCTCTTAATTTGCCAATATTTCACATTTCTCTTTTGGACATACTCTGTTTCTATATATATATATATATATATATATATATATATATACTCTCTCTCTCTCTCTCTCTCTCTCTCTCTCTGGTTACCCGAAACTTTTGCATTGCATTAATTTAGATTGTTTTAAATAGGGCATTTCTTTATTTTTCTTTTTTCTTTTTTTTTTTTTTTTAATTCCATATTCTCTTTTTGTATCTTTTAAGAGGTGGCTAGCTTGAAAGCATTTAGAAATCTGAATTTGAGGTTTGAAAGGCTTGTATTGATGAAAAGCCTTTTCATTTATGCAAATACACTTAATTCTGTATAGTTTGTGCATAAATGTTTTTTTATGGGATTTGTTTTGCACATTTCTTTCATTCTCTGTATCTTGTTTTACTTGTATCTATCAAAAATTTTAATGGAAAATGCTTATTATTCATGTCTCCTCAGATAATTTAAGCCCATTGTTATTTTTAAAAGATTTAAAATGTTCAAGTTTTGACTGTTATTTCTTTCATTTTTTTTTTCTCTCTGATATCACTCTTCTATTTCTGATCCACACTGTTCTTCTCCACTTGTTAAATATTTTTTTTTTTTTACATTGATGAACAAGGCCCAAGAGCTACTCACATATCCACGTAAACTGTGCCTCTTACTCTATAAGAAGCACAGCCTATGTGGATATGTGAGGCAGATAACAGTTAACCCTAGACTTGAACAGGTTAAGATTGTAGTGATCAAGGAAGCATCCTCTTGAGTCAGTTCCACAAAGCAGCACTTTGTGGGTGGAAGCTGCTGAATTGGAATGAGCATCTCATCAATAGAATAGGATTAAAAAGCAACAGATTCATGAAGCCAAGAATAAATATTTGATTTTGCTTCATCTAAACAACAAAAAAGCAAACCCTATTACATGTAATACTAGTATGTACAATTGAGAACTTTGTTCTATAGAAAGGTTTCCTTTAAATTGCTTACTTTCCATCCTTAAGGATAACAACAACAAAGCAAATGTTCTTCATAATCTACTTACATCTCTGAAATTTGAGTGGTGTATTCTACTTTGGCTGGATTCAAATTCTTTAGTTGATTGTTGGTTGACCATCCCTCACTTCCTGATTCTGTCAGTCTTAAATTGTCTATATACTTGTATCAATACAAAGTATTTGTTTTTGCCATTCTTGTATTTTACTTTTTATGAAACATTAACACAACCTGATGGTTAGAGCACTGGCCTTGAAGATCAGATACTGTTACTGTGATCAGTTCCATAAATAGCAAATTGTTTTAAAAACAAAATTAATTTTATCTCCATGTCTGTATCTCCAAAATCAATGGAGGCTAGATAATTTTTTTTGTTTCCAGTTTTCTTTTCTTAAACCCAAAGTCATTTTCTCTTTTAACTAAAAGCATGGAGTCATCCCCAAGTTAGCCTGATTTGAAAAGTCTTCACTGTTTCTCTGCTTTTATTGAAAAATGAAGGCTTCCAGTTCATGAGAAAATTTCTAAAATCATCTGCAACTATTTGAAGTCATCTGATATTAAGAGACTCTTGAAAGGAAATAGTAATGATGATGAATGCAAGTGTGGGCAGAAATAGGTTTGTTATTACTGTCTTATTGTTATTGTCCATAAAATAGTGCATATATACAAAGATAATCAATTTGTTTTTACTTTAGTTTCAGATAAAAAGGGAACCCCTCAAAAAAGGAAACGTGGGAGTGTTCAACTGGACAATTCTCCCATAACTGGGTCTGGTGTGACCCCCAGGACTCCTGGGAGTAATCAGAGGCCGATTCCTTTGTCAGAACGTCAGCAGATGGCCTTGCTGATGAAGATGACAGATGAATCTTCGCAGGGAGGTAAGCACAAATACAGTCATGCTTTTTGATATAATCATTTTTTCCCTTAGTTAAAATAAAGTATCTACCAATGCATTTTCAATGACCTTTTGTTTTTTGAAATAGAATGACTTGAGTTTTGAAGATTCGGTTTGGGTTTTCTCTGAGGTCATTTAAGTTCTGGTCATCTCTCTTTGTAAATTAATTCTAACAGCTAGACAGGTGGAGATTCAATTTCTGTCACTGGAATAGTTGCACATATGAATGTCAATTTTAAAGAATGGCTAGGATACAATGATCAGATTTTTAACTTTGAATGTTTTAACACAAAAATAACGTTTTGTCTACAAATCATCTAAGTGTCATTAGTTTTATATACCAATACAAACCATATCTAATGCTTCTTGCCTATATTAACACACCTTTCTCTATATAAACCACCTCCTCTTCCTACCAATATAACTATAAAAATATTATAGGATAGGAGCTAGGAATCAGTACTTTATACAGATTTCCTCATTTTGTACAAGCAAAACCAAACCTGCTGTTAGTGTCACACTATTAGAAAAAAATAACTGAAAAGAAAACTTTTTTTTTTTTTTCAATATTTTATCTTGAGTACAAATCTAATATGTCTCCCCACTATTGTAACTGGATGTTTCATAAAAAAGGCTGATACTAAATCTGCAAAAGAAAAATTGACACAGTTTGTCACTATGTTTATTGCCAAGTAATAAGACACTATAAATCTTAAGTTCAGATATAAACATACATTCAACATGCTCCTTAAAAGGATTTGTGTAATTTATCAGAGGACCTAACTAATGCAAGTAACTGCACAAATACAATTGCAAGTTATTTTCCTTATCCAATAAGAATGATTGCTTCTTTTTTCTTTTTTTTTTTATTACTATTTGACTTTAAATGAAATGAGTGCAAGCAAACTATCTCATCATTCTTGAATCATCTAAAATGTTTGTATATATAAAAACAAGCAAACAAAAAAAAAACCTATTTTGCCATTGCTTGTTAATTAGCTTACAACATTTTTGATTTTTCTCCTATTTCTATATAGGCCTGTATTTTTTAAAAAGTTTTTATTCTATTTTTTTCATGTGTGTCTTTGTGCAGCAGATTCCTCTCCTAAGCCGTTGTCTCCTGTGATGTCTGGCAAACGCACCCCAGGGGACAAAAGAGTGCACAAACGCAATGAACGAGGAGAGACTCCATTACATCTGGCAGCGATCAAGGGTGATCCAAAACAGACCAAAAAGCTTATCAAAGCAGGAGCTGATGTTAATGTCAAAGACTTTGCTGGTAATAATTCACTTGCATAAACAAAAAATTTTTCTGCCCAATTTCAAACTTTCTTCTGTCAAACTATCCTTTATAGATTTCAAAACATCTTCAAATTTCATTTAACAGTTTTAGTAAATTTCTGCATAAATTTTTTTTTTTTTTTTTTTTTTTCATTCAATGAGATCAAGTACTTGACAAAATGTATAGAAAATCTATGTTGATTATATGTTATTAAACACTTTATTATCAAAGTAATAAGCACACAAAAATGTACAAAGTTAAACTTGTGTTTTTCAGTATTTCTTGAATTTCACACAAGTCCTGATTGACTGCATGAATTTGTCATTTGACTAGCACCTTTTCCATGCTAATTTGTGTAGAAATTCTAATTTAAAGAAAGATATTCAATGCTCAAAAGTGGTAGTCGATTGGATGAACAGTATTTAAGATCTGCAAATAGTTTCTTGCCTTTAATGTAGCCTATGGGCAAATCATACTGAAATCACTGGTTCTCATTCAATCAACAAAGTTCAGCAGTTGAGCCCAGTCAGTACTTAGACGGGAGATTGCTCGGGAACACAAGGTACTGTAAGCAACTTCCTACAATCCAAAATGTTTGGCCTTAAATAACCCACAAAGGATTGATGATCTATAAAGACACAAATCAGTCAATCAATCCTTTAATATATGTTTTATTCTCTCTTAATATTTAATCTCTCTCCAATTTCTGGCCTTGTTAAATAGTTTATCTTTTTCCAGGTTGGACTCCTCTTCATGAAGCTTGCAATCATGGTTGGTTGATTATAGCTAAACATCTTTTGAAGGCTGGAGCCAATGTAAATGTCCATGGCTTAGAGAATGACACACCTTTACATGATGCTTCTGCAAATGGCCATCAAAAGGTAAGGTCTACATTCAAGCACCACCCAAGTAATTTAATTTTAAATGATAATGCATTGTGTGTGTGTGTGTGTGTGTGTGTGTGTGAAATTTGTAGCTGATTCCACAGTATAAATTAGTTAATATCCTGAAATGGTTATAATGCTAAAACATTTTTATTTTTATTTTTTTTTTTTAGAATATTTGATAACATTGTTAAATTATTTTTCTTTAGAAGTTTCTTTTTTTCAAGATGTGGGAAATCATGGTTCTCCAGTTTCTTGTCCTTTGTTGCTCTTAGGATTACTTGCTACTTCATGAACTCTTTCATTTGTTCATCTCTTTGCTCAAACTTGTCAAGTAAAGTTACTCACTGCTTTACCCTGTTTCTCTTGTCCCATGAGTGTTTGTTTCTGTAAGCTTTTTTTTTTTCTAATGAGTTCCCCAGAATTTCAATTGTTTTTTTTGTTTTTCCAAGTAGCAACAGTTTCTAGTACTTAATATTTTCCTAACAACATCAAATCTCATTTATCACATGTTCTGTTCATGGTAGAAGTACATCTAATTGCTTTGTCTTCTTCATTCTCTAATGATTCTAATGATGGTGAGTAAGCAACATATTAGCTGACATTATTTCATTGGTTTCTAATATTTCAGTCCCTTAGTCTTGACTCAGTTTCTGAAAAGCAACTTTTGCTATTCCTATGTATCTTAAAATCTGTCACACTTTCCATTATTTGTTACTAAACTGTCCAGATTGAATTTCATCACCTACTTGTTTTTTATGTCTCATCTGTAACTCTCATCTTGGGCGGTCTCTTCTGCTCACAACCAAGCCTTCAATATTCATACTTTCATCAACTTCCTTGTCTAATATTTCTAGTTTTCTTTCTAAATCTTCCATGAACTTAGTGTATGTTGTTAAGGTTACAGTCACTGATAAATTAAATAACTACTGTACAAATTAAATAACTCTGGTGAGAAAACACTGCCTTCATATATTCCCCTTTCTATTTTGGTGTACTTACCAAATTACTTTTCTATTCACATTACATTGCCTCTCTATGCAGATTAAGCTTTTCCAACATTTTAAGAAGTTTCTTTTTGTTTTTTGTAATCTTCATGCATTCCTGTTGCTCAATCTGCCAGCATCATCACCCTTAAAATTACATTTCTCCTTCCAGTGTCATGAACAAAATCCCATTGATCTGGTTAGTCTGCTATGAGCTTTATTCATTAGAATCATAAGTTTTGTTATGGCTCATGCAGCAGATTGTTCAATAGCATTTACATTGATTCACACTTGGTTTCTTCAGAGGCACTATGAAACCTGATCTCCTGGGGTCCCCTGGTATTTTGTTGCTGCCATATATTTTATTTATCATTTCAGTAACCTGATCAATTCCAAAAAACTCAACTTTATAAATATCTTGTCTGGTACTGCAGCTTTGTTCTTCATCTTATTGATTTTCTTATCTTTGTTTTTTTTATGTTCTCTGCTTTTATGTATTGTCAGTCAATGGTTAATTTTTATTGAGAACTCAATAAACCCCTTTTTGATTTCTGCACTCAAGAACATTTTTGCAAATATTTCCACCTTGTGGCTGTTCTATGTTGATAAAAATATAATTACTAAAAACAAAAATTCAATTTGAGGGCAATTTACAAATATAAGATGAGGTTCAAGGAAGTTAAAGCATATTCTTCCTCATGATTAATTCTTTGAAAGTACCTGCCTTGGCCTAATTTAATTTTTTATCCTTCTTCCATATACTTAGCTTGTGGAATTGCTGTTGAAGCATGGGGCCAACCCTTTACAGTCTAACAGCAGGGGCCAGACACCAATGGATGTTGCTGCATCTCCAGATACAGAAAAGCTATTAAGAAAAGAGATTTCTTATTCAAGTAGTGACAGCTCTAGTGCAGATGATAACCGCTCCCCTACGTCCCCTGAGAGTACATCATCTGCTAAAGAAGAGGACCGTGCAGGTGACTCTGAAGGCAAATAAGTTTTCTCTTGCTCTCAGTATGTGTCATATTCTGTGTGTGTGTGTCATATTGTGTGTGTGTCATATTCTGTGTGTGTGTTTCTTTCCTTCTCTGCATGCGTCTGTGTATCTCGTTCTCTCTCTCTGTATATGTGTATCTCGTTCTCTCTCTCTCTCTCTCTCTCTCTCTCTGTATATGTGTATCTCGTTCTCTCTCTCTCTTTGTTCTTCTCTCACTCTCTTTCTGCCTCTCTCTTTTTTGTGTATGTCTCACTGGTTCTCTCTCTCTTTCTGTTGTATCTCTCTGTATGTGTTGTGTCTATTTCTCTGTGTGTGTGCACACATTGTCTCTTTCTGTCTGCATTCTCTCTCTCTGCTTCACCCCACTGATTCATCATTTTTGTTTGATTACAAGTAAACATCTGGATTTACTGTTTTCTTTATTTCTGCAGATTTGTCTCCACGATTCACTGGTTCATCTGCTTCCAAGTGGGAACGTAGCTGTACCATGTCGTCCAGTTCAAGTACGAGGCGGTCCTTACTACCTAAATCTCCTGAAAAAACTGCTTCTCCTCGCCTCTTTCTGAAACTGATAAAGGATGTACCTTGTAGTGGGGAGTCTTCAGAGAAATCAAAAGACACAACAGAGACCCAATATAAAGCGTACAGTGTCACTGTCGAGCCAGGCGAACATAAAGACTCCATGTCATTCATGGAAAGCAACAGCAGCAATGACAGTGATTTGTACGAGTCCCGTGGTGGCGGTAACAATGGTGGCAGTTCCTCCACTACAGCTGCTAGTACCAAGAGCAATTTAGCATCGTCCACGGTTGCAACTGGCCCTGGACCTGCCAAAGACTCAGGTCAGGCTGAGAATCGTGTAGGCAGTATGTCGTTAGCATCAGAGTGCAGTCAGCACCCAGAGAACATCGACAACAACAAGGGTTGTGTTGGTGATGGGCGATTGAATGATGATGGTGGCAAGACCTATGGTGAGCTTGTATCATCATCATCACATTCAATCCAGTCATTCACCCCACAGTTTGAAGACATAAGTGATGCAGAAGACGAAACAAGCATGCCAGAAATGCTTAAACAGGCGGTGTCGGTACCCATCCGATCCACTTCCAATTGCATTCCACAGGTTAAAGAGTTGGACACTATCACCACAGCTACGACTGCATCGCAATCAAGGTTGAAAACTCTGACTTGTTCATCGTCTAGCTCAGATTTCCCACCATCCGACCTCTCACAGTTATCCTCATCCCTTTCATTATCCAATACTTGTTCTCATAGTAACACGCTTAGCTCAGGAACAACAAACAATATACAAGTTGAAATGCACACGCCAGATTCTAGTGGCAATTCGAACACTTCCTCGCTACGGAGGAACTCTGGCAACAATTCGAGTGAGCCAAGCACACTGTCCTCAGTTGTGCCTCCCCCCGGGCCGGTCACGGGAAAGTGGGAGCTGCGTTCCTCGCCCCGTACAGATGACCACCTCACAGGGCTGTCTAGCAAGTCGGATGGATCGCGGGCATCTTCACCGACAAGATCCGAGAAAGATAGGTTCATGTTAAAGTCAGATAAGGAAACCCGCTCGTCGTCATCGTCTTCGTCATCGTCGTCGTCGTCGTCCTCGCTAAAGGTTCCACCCTTGCGAATAATAATCCCACCTAAACAGACATCTTCCGTTGATTCTGACTTGAAAATGCTCCTCACTAAACCGGCATTGCCATACGTTTTAAACCCAACCCGCGAGAACAACTTAGAGGAGCCAATCAATGAGTCGCACACAGCCTCACAGACATCATCTCGGGCGTCGAGTCCAGCTTCCTCACGCCCTTCATCTGCTGCTAGTGACCATGCTGCTCCAGCCACTTCTTCTGCCTCCATGACAGCCACCAACCTGTCTACTTGTTCCTCTGCAGACAAGGCACTGCCTGCCACTGCCAGCTTGACTGGCTCAGGCAGCACCCCTGCATCATCTTCTGCAGCCGGCAATTTGTCAGCAGGGAACAGCACCACTACATCCGAGGCATCAGATGCAAATGGCAGTGGCAATAACAGCAGCAGCAGTAAACCAACGACCACCTCGGCAACGACCACCACTACGACGACCACCACGAGTAGCACGTCAACATCAAGCAGCACAACGAGCAGCTGTGACAAACCCGCCAATCAGACTGCATCTGCGGTGCAGTCATCGCGGGACGGAGACTCTCAGGTAGGGAAGGAAAAAGAGGAGCCACCAAAATCAAAGGAGAAAGATGATGCCAAGGAAGAGAAAGAAGAAAAAATAACACAGCGGATCACACGGTGTCTGCGCTCTCATACAGCACAAATGCAACAACAACAGCAGCAGCAGCAGCAACAACAAAAAAAAGAGCAACATACTGAGAAGGACAAGCAAGGTAAAGTCCAAATTGCAACCACTTACACTTTGTGCTTCTTCAGCAAGAAGTTTTAGTCACCAATTATTTCTTCTCATTTTGGCTTTTGTGTCAACTACAATATTTAGGATTCATCAGTGTTATCTTTTCCCCAACTGCATTCAACACATTTGTTTTCTAAGTTTTGATTCATAAAGCCAGTTTCTTAGCCAGGTTCATCTCCTTAGGGGAGAAGAGTAATTTTTTTTCTCTCTGGCTTTGTTTACATTTAAAACATAAATATGTTGACTTTCATGCCTCTGCCAAATTTGAAATTCTAATAGTAGCTGAAAAGTTTAGAATGATTTAATATGAAGTATACTAAATGCATCCACTAAAAAACACAGCATAATTAAAAGTAACTGATGTAGTGTTTTCTATCAAGGTTTGATTTGATTCTTTCAAGAACTTTAAAATTAAACTTTAAACATATTTACTTAAAAATGAACTTTTCCTTAGCCCTGCTTTTACAGATTTTAATATATTAGAAATTATTGAAATATTTTGGGCCTGAACATCCAAAATATAGAATATTTAGTCATTCTGGTTAGTGGAATGAGCAGAAAACTTTTCAGCATATTATATACTTAATTGCAAAATTCATTTTCAGTCTATTTTCCCTTGTGAAAGGAATAAGATAAATTCAAGTGATAGTTCATTGCATATTGAAATTAATTGAAAGTTCAGTCACAATGTTTGTTACTAAGCAAAAATTCATTTAAAATCCTTAATATATTTTTTGCAACAATTAGTATATATATATATATATATATATATATATATATATATATATATATAAAAAATATGCATCCATATGATTGTAATCAATTTCACTGTAGAAATCAGTAAAAGAAATCATCCCATGCTTTCAATAAGATAATTTCTGTAAGCTATCAATAGTGGTTCGCATTACAACGACTCCCCGGGTGCATATCTAAAAGATCTTGAAAATGTGTCTAGTATGAGGTCAGCGTTGTGCAACACTCAATATTATAAGATATTCTGTTTTATATGTTGCATCTGAAATTTCAAACTCTAGAATAAAAAGCACCCTGAGTTGAACACACACACACATTACCATATCATCTTGGTCCTCCAAGCTATTTTATAATCAGTCTGGATTAATGTTATTAAAAATGAAGAGTCAAAAAGTGATGTTTGTAAATAAGTGAAAACTTTTTGTTTTGAACTGCAGGGAGCTCGGAAAACCAACCTCAGGTAAATGAATTGTCCGGTGGTGTGAAAGGCCAGAAATCAAGCACGACAGCCTCGACAAGTTTAGCAAGCACGCCGGCCACAACCTCAGCAGCCGTGGAAGAGTCTGATGAATTCAGCATCCATCCGCGAAAGAGAAAGTTACGACCAAAGCCAGACCAAGCGCAGACCTCAGAAGCCGTCACTTCACATCCTATTGTTTTAGAAAAACCTCCAAATCCTTACAAAACCTATCTTTCAATCCGAAAACAAGTAAGGAAAAAGGTGATAACAAAACATTTACGCTCATTCCATGTGCAAAAGTATTTTGATTGGATGTGTTATTGTATGCATGTAGTCATTTTTCATGAGAGCTTTTGATGATGTCCATCTCTTCCCATCACTGATCAAACATTTTCTTGATATTGTCCAGGGAAATAGGCAAGAACAAGTCTTACTAAAACTCTTTAGATCTGCTTTTTATTTATTTAAAACTTAAAACTTGCCTCTCTTCTGTATGTTGTGTTAAATTTATTTGGTTAATGTTTTATTTACTCAAAAGTAGTTTTCTTACTGAAAGGATTAGTTTATGTACAAAACATTAGGAACTGAAGTGAACATTAAAAATCGTCTTTATTTAGATTTAAAACAGATGGAATAAAAACTACTATTATAGGGTGAAGAAGAGTAATTGAATTTGTTGAAGAGAGTATGATGGTAATTTCCATGTGCACTGATTTCTTTCATTTGTCTTCTCCATTTTTGTTCTATTTTCTTAATTTCCTTTCCATAGGAGTTTGACTACCCTTTTCCCTCCATACATGGTCAGTCATGCCTGATTTCATTGTATCTCCCTAGACTGCTATATATGGACTGTAAACCTGAATTTTTTCAAATGTCCTACTAGTATGGTAGGCAGACCATGGCAGATTTTCTGCTGTTGTCCTCTACTCTTCTGTCCATCATCTGAGTATAGACATTAGATTTAAGTTTTAAAAATGATACCAGTAGCTGATCAAAGATGCATTGCCTAGTGGATTAAAAACGTTGGATAAAATATGTCTGGTTCCTTGGCAGTTGTGTGTTCAATCCCTAGGTTTCGTATTGCTGAAAAAACATACTCTGGTTCAGTGGAAGGATATGACAAGTATTAACTGATAGAAAGGTGGAATTCAACTCTGGTTCAAAATTACTGAGTATGACAACAGACACTGGAGAGTACATGGCCAAAATATTGTGACTATAACAAAGATGCGTATACACATACAAGTGAGAATTCTTCAACTCAAATATTCCAACCATAATATTGTATAAAATTTATTTACAAGAATAATAGATGATTCTTATCAAAACTTTAAACCTTTGCCTACTGAAGATTTGAGAAAATTTCAGAGCTAAGGAAAGAAATGAATACTTGTGCTAGCACTACACTTTCCAAAAAAATGACCAAACAATGGGGTTTTTTTTGGGGGGGGTTAAAAATAAAAAAACAGGATTAAAAACTTTTTAGCACCTCTTCCTGAATGTCCTTTAGAAAATTTGATATGGGCTGGAGTTTTCTCAATTGTGAATTATAAATGACCAAAAATTATTCCAATTAAGCTCAAGTCTTTCCTTTTGAGCTTTCAAGGCTCAAAGTAGATTTTGCATTTTTTCAAATGTTGGAATACAGATTCACTTCATCAAAAAGAAAGGGAATTTCAAATGATTGTTAAACTTCAGATAAAAATGCTTTTTGGATCAATATTTTGATATAGAATATAAAGCTTTAAACAAATGCCATAGCTCAACTGTTTTAGGGTTAGGAACTTAAGCCTTTAATAAAAAAAAATTGCAATGGTGTCATGGACCTGAAATTTTCATTTTTGTTTGTATTGCTAATGTAGAAATGTTTCTTTCCATTTCATCTTTCTGCCCACTCCTTCTTTTCTCAATTCTCTTTTCATTCAATTTTTATCTTTTTTCCTCTGCACTCCATCTTTAAATTCTTTCCTCTGGCTTTTCTAGAAATTTATTTTTTATATAAAATACACATTACCAGGTCACCCTTGGACAAGCATCTGTTATAAAGTTGTAACAATTCAACTGAAAAGCTTTGAATATATGATTGTCAGCCATAATCTGTTTAAAAAGCTTGTTTAGTATATGACTATTATACTTGATTTGTTATGTACCCAGAATAGTTGTTGAGTTAGCTATCAAAAGAATAGTTATATTAGCAATAACTTCTATAGGTATTTTTCATTAAACCAGTTTTTTTTTTCCTTTGTCTTTTTATCATTACCCTCCACTATCCTTATCCTTGTATTTTTTCTCCCTTGTCTCCAGGTTGAAGATCGGCGGAAAAACAATGCAGTTGTTCATCCGAAAGCTCCTCAGGGATTTAAGGATTATTTGATGATGAGCTGTAGTTACGTCTTACAAGGAAATTCTGCCAGCACGTTATCTGTTCCCATGGTAAGAGTCACTCATTTTGATTCCTTTTTTTCTTTCTTTCTCTCTACCAACATATCAATATATGACTCATTAAAAAAAATAATGCTTTTCAAGGAGACAGAGAGAGGTTATTGGACTAGGAAGTGATTCTGTTTAGATTTAATTCTTCACACATATATACACACGCACACGTATGTGTGTGTGTGTGTGTAATATATTAAATGACGTCTTTATCAACTTAAACAGAACTTGTATAATTTTTTTTTTTTTTTTTTTTTTTTTTTTTTTTTTTTTTTTTTTTTTTAAATAGCTTTCCCCACCAAATTCTGTCACTGGGCCAATGAGAGAACTTTTCTTGGACCAAGAACAAGCTAGATACAAATTGCGGTTACAACATCTCATAGAGAAGGTAATGTGCCTAGATAGATTCTGCTTCCTGCAGACAAGGTGTTTCTTCTTCTGTTGTTTGTTTTGTTGTTTTTTTTCGTTTTGTTTGTGTTTTTTTTTTTTTTTTTTTTTTTTTTTTTTTTTTTTACATGATTCTTTTTGGGAAATCATTGAAATCAGGACCCGACCCCCCCCCCAAACCTTCTTCAAACTAGTTTTATACACTCTTGGGCCACTTAAGTACATGTGAACAAATGCAACGGTAGCAATTTAATGCATATAAGCATATAAAATGGTCATAGTGACCTGCTGAATTTCATTTCATGCATTACTATAGAGTAAGGAAGTAACTTTGAAGTAACTTGTATGGTAATTAATGCCAGACAGTCTTGTTTGAGTATTTTAAAAACTGTTGATCTATTAGGATTTTTATACACATCCATCTCTATAGTTTACAGAAGATGATCAGAAAAAGAAAAAAAGCTTAAATGAGTGGCAATTCTGTGGGCAAAAATTGATAAATCAATCATTAAAAATTCACGTGTTTTAAGGGTACCTTTCCCCCTTTATAAATTTTATTGTCTGACCCATCATACTTAACTATGAAAACGTTCGGCTATCAATAAATTTATTAACATGTCAGAAAAACAAGACCCCATAGTTAAATGTTTGTAGACAAAATTTTATGCTATTAGTAACATGTCACTCAAATCATTAATTTAACTTTAAATTTGCTAATTTTCCTCAAATAACATTTCAGAAATATGTATTTTATCTTTGTAAGATTTTTAAAACTGATAATTAACTTTTGTTTACAAATATATTAAAAATGGCCAATTTTTATTGATTTTACTGAAAAAAAATCCATTCCAATCAATATAATTTCTGTTTGAAATACACCATAGAGTATTTTGCTTACTGGAAATAGTAAATTTTAAATCCTTTATCTTTCAATTAAATCTAAAATGGAAGCTTCTGGGATTAAGGAGACTGACAGAACTGATAAAATCTAAGAGATAGTCCATACTTGGGTGGATAAGACCTAGTATCATGAATGCTCAAAAAAAACCCTACGCTTGAGCATATCAACCATGTAGCCCTGGAGAAATGAGGTGAATGGTATTTTTTCCCCCCTCATCATCTGCCCCATAAGGGTCTCCAAGGTGGGTGGGGAGCACAGCTGACGAATTAAAAATAAATTTATTATAAGTAAGAAAAACACCAAGAGACTTCACATAGAAACAGATTCTGATAACGAAAATGATGTCAAAACCTTCCCACACTTTATTGTACTGTAAGCCACAAATAACAAACCATTGACTGAATTATCACCCTTCCTAATTCAAAAAACCATATTGAGCAAAATAACTCAAAAAATTTAAAAAAATTAAAAAATGGTACAATACTAATAGAAATACAAAACAAAAACCAAGCTAAAACTACTACAGTTACAGAAATTTCATGAAACGGGCATCAGATCCTACCCCCCCAAACAAACCTTAAACTGCTCCAAAGGAGTCGTAAAAAACCGAGAGCTCTCATTATGTACGATAGATGAAATCAAAAAAGAAGTGAAAAATCAAGGAGTCACAGATGTAAAAAGAATTACAATGAAAAAAAACAGAGAAGCAATACGAACAAATACATACATATTAACCTTCAACTCTCCTCAGATACCAACAATTGAAATTGGGTATGGGAGAATTAAAATAGAACAGTATATACCAAACACACTTCAATGTTACAGATGCCAAAAGTTTGGACATCAAAAAGACCAATGTTGAAGCAACCAAACATGTGGAAATTGCAGTTTAAAAGATCCTGATCATGAGGAAAGGGATTGCTCAAATAAAACCAAATGTCCAAACTGCTCAAAAAATCACCCCTCTTACTCGAAAAACTGCAAGATACACAAGCAAGAAAAAGAAATAATAGAAGTCAGATATTGGAAAAACAAACTTCCAAGAAGCCCGAAAGGAGGTGACAAAAGACACATACACAATAATAACCCCAAAAAACTAATAAAATACACAATGAAAACCTACCAAGTAATCCTTCAGAAACTCCAAACTTAATAAGAGAATTAAAAATTATACTTGAAGAACTAAAATCCCTCATATTTGGACTTAGAATAGATTAGATTTCAATATCCAAGATAAAAGCAGAAATGAACAACCTAAGACAAGTGAAGTCAAAACTAAAGAAACTAAAAAATCACCCAAAGAAAATTCTGAACCAAACAATAATGAAACTGCATATCCCCATCTCCCAAAAATCACAAGATCCAATTCACTCCCTAGACAAAAAGAAAATAACACTGAAAATAGATCCACAATACTTGAAAATATGGAAACAGAACATGAAAGCAAAAACCAAAAAATTCAAAATAAAGACGAATAGGAAAACACAAGAATCTAAAATCAAAACCAAAGACCCCAAAGACAAACTAAGAACAAGAAAAGAAACAGGAAAATCAGAAAGCATGGATTTCTAGAATAATACCACAGAGTACAACACTTAAGGAAAAGCCTAAACCAACCTTAAAACACAAAGCAATCCCATGAACCAAACGGAAAAACAATGATCACAAACACACATAAGATACTTCAATAGTCCAATTTGGGGTTGCAGAGACACTAACCAAAAGGGCAAAAATATGGAAAGACTCATAAACAACAATAGCTTTTGTATTTTCAATAACAAAACCCCAACGGACATATGCCCGTACACAGGTAAATACTCTGCAATAGATCTGACCCTATGTGATCCATCCATTCTTATGGATTTCACCTGGTCAACATACAACAATACCTGTGGAAGCGACCACTTCCCCATAATCTTAGAAAGTATAAGCCCAAATTTAGAAGACAAAACACCCAACTGGAATTTAAAAAGGCAAACTAGGAAAAATTCAAAAAAATGTGCTCGATTAAACTAACCCCAAACTCAAACATCAAAAAGGAAGACCTGGTTATATTCTTTACAAAAAACAATCTCCATAGCAGAAAAATGCATACCTAAATACTCCAAACCTACTAAACACTACTATCCCTGGTTCAATGAAGAATGCAGAAAAGCAGTTAGATTGCGCATAGCTGCTCTACGCAAGTTCAATACACAACCAACAGTGGGAAATTTAAACGCCTTCAAAATATGCAGAGCCAAAGTGCGACAAATTATCTAGCAATCAAAATGTTCAACATGGAGAGAATTTATATCCAAAATCAACTCCAACACAAAAGCAAAAACTGTATGGAACATGATCAGAAAGATCTCTGGCAAAAATATAAAAATTCCCCCCAAGCATCTCTCCAATTACAATGGAAAATAACTGACCCCCGAAATAGCCAATACATTTGTCCAAAATTTTGCACAAAATTCCTCTGTCACAAATCACAGTAAAAGATTCCAGAACATAAAGAGAAATGATGAAAAAGAAACAATCAAATTCCACCCCAAAAACACAGAATACAACCAGCCTTTTTCACTAACTGAACTGTTAGACTCCCTCACCCAATCTCACAACACTGCAGCAGGACCTGATATTATGAATTTCTTAAACAATTCCCAGATCCTTCCATAGAACTCCTATTAGACATCTTTAATAATATCTGGTCCAGTCGAAATGTATATGATCTCTGGAAACAAACCAACATCATCCCAATACCCAAGACCAGAAAAGACTTGTCTAACTCCTCCAATTACAGACCCATATGCCTAACCAGTTGTCTCTAGAAAGAATGGTCAATGACAGACTCACCTGGATACTCGAGACCAACAATCTACTTACTAATTTTCAATCCGGCTACAGAAAAGGGCAAAGCACAATAGACCATCTAGTTCGCTTCAAAACTCTCATTAGAAATGCCTTCATCAGAAAAAAAAAACTTAACAATCTTTTTTGATCTTGAGAAAGCATTAGACACCATGTGGAAACCTGGCATAATGCGAGACTTAGACAACTTTGGTCTCAAAGGTAGATTGCCAACTTTCATCCAAAACTTCCTATCTAATTGCCTCTTCAAAGTAACATGGTAAAACTCTCTCTAAAATCCAAGAACAGGAAATGGGCATCCCACAGGAGAGCATACTATCAGCCACTCTATTTAATATCAACATGAATAATATCGTAAAAACTCTCAATCCTGGGATTGACCCCTTTTTATATGTTGATGACTTTCTGATCTGCTACAGATCAAAACACATCCACACCATCAAACATCAGCTGCAACAATGTCTCAACAAAATCAGTGAATGGGCCACAAGAAATGGCTTTAAATTCTCCCAAACAAAAACCAAATGTGTACACTCCTGTCGATAACATAAGCTAATCTAGACCCTTCCCTAAAACTCGATAACACAGAAATACCAATAGTTGAAGAACACAAATTCCTAGGCATTATCTTTGACAAAAAATTAACCTACATACCACGCATAAAATATCTCAAAGTCAAATGTAACAAAGCAATCCAACTCATGAGAGTGATTGCTAACATCAACTGAGGAGCAGATCGACAAGTCTTAATAAGACTCTACAGAGCATTAATTTGAACCAAACTAGATTATGGCTGCATCATCTATGGATTTACCAAAAAGTCCTATTTTAGAGAATTTGAAACCATACATAATCAAGGGTTGAGATTAGCCTTAGGAGCTTTCTACACTTCTCCTGTAAACAGTCTACATGCAGAAGCCCATGAATGCCCACTCCCCCTAAGATGGAAAAAACTAGCACTCCAATATTACATCAAACTTTATTCATGTCCTACCAATCCCACCTTCAACTGTGTCTTCCCTCCTGAAAACAAAACTCAATTTGACAGGGGAAAAAAAAGCCATAAAAACATTTGGACTACAAATGGAACACTCTTTTGCAGACTGTCTAATTGATAAAAGAAGTATTCACAAATCAAAACTCCCTGAACACCCACCTTGGCTACTAAAACAACCAGAAATCATTCTAGAATTAACAAAATACTCCAAATCTAATACACATCCCTCAACTTATATCGATAGTTTAAATAACAACACCCAAACTGGACACAAATATACATATGGCTCTAAAGACAAGAATAAAGTTGGAAGTGCGGCTATCTCTAACAACACCATACTCCAAAAACGCCTACCAGACAATACCTCAATTTTCAGTGCTGAAGACCTCACCCTTGAACTTAACCTTAACAAATATATAATATTTTCAGACTCATTATCAGTGCTAATGGCACTAAAAGGCAAAAATCTAAATAACCCTCTGATCATTAATCTCCTACAAAGAATCAATCCCATCACTCAAAACAAAAACATTATTTTCTGCTGTATTCCCAGCCACATTGGTCTCAGAAGACAAAAAAGCAGATACAGCTGCTAAAAGATCATTAAACATCAACATTAGTGACATAAAAGTACCCCATACAGATTACAAACTCCCTAATCAACAACCTCATTACGACCAAATGGCAAGAGTTATGGAACTCCTGGAAAAATGAAGAGAAGTATGAAGAGAAGTAGTAGTAATGACTAGACTTCAAATAGGCCACACCGCTGTCACCCATTCACACCTGCTGAAGGGGGAAGAAGCCCCAATTTGCATTCCATGGCAGGAGCTCTACACAGTGAAACATTTACTAACAAGCAGCATAGATCTTGAACAAATACGATTAAGATACTATCAAGAAAACAATCTGAAAGACATCATCAACAAAACTGACCCAAATGACCTTTTAGAATTTCTAAAAGCAACAAAATTATATAACAAAATATAGTTGGCAAAGAAGATAGCATATAATTATCATGCACTAAATCACAACACCTCTACCTATATCTTGAAAACAAACTCGCAAAAGATCAACAAGCAGTAAACAAAAACCAAACAAATTCTTCAGCATTAAAATAACCCAGAAGGTATGCTGGTAAAACAAACAACTAAACTAAACTAAAATGGAAGCTTCAAGAAAGCTTTTACATTTTTAAAAATTCATTTTAAACCTTGCATATACCAAATTAGTGGTTGTACCTACTTTTGTGTTTCATCTTTCAACTGGTCTTCTTAAGGTGTTCAGACTCCATAGAACCTTAGGGATCGATCTTTCCCTTTTTTTCCCTCCCTCTCCCTTTGGTACATGAGCCTTCAGATTTTTTTTTTAAAAAAAGTAAATTAATGGTAAAAGTAAGGGAGATAACTCAATTTATCTGTTAGGCCTTAGTGGGAATTATTTTGAAATTTTATCAGGTCACACAGCATTCCTCTTTGACCATGACCTCTTGGGATGAAAAATTAAGATAGTATTTTCCATTATACTTTTTATAATGTCTTTTTCAATGCTTTTCTCATCTTTTTATAAATCTGTTCCTTATGCTAAGGTGTAATAGTGTCTTACGGTTTAATTACATGATTTGGGAGAAATTGTGTGCAGTCTTTCATATTGTAGACTCCATATTAATGCAAGATCAAGTTTTGTTAGCAGTTTTATCTGATTCATGTAGGTACTCAGCTGCCATAAATATACAAGAAATCTATCATAAATTGTTGCTTCAGATTAAAACTTAAAAACTTCTTAGTTTTTCATTTCCTCACTCCCCTTTTATCTCTCACTCTCTCAGAGAACCCAATTTTGGTGGCTACCAAATTTGAATGTTTATAATTAGCAGTTTTTGTCTTTTGCAGGAGAAGTTGATGCTTTCCATTGAACAAGAAATGTTACGTGAGCATGCCCGTGCTGCCAGAGCCCAGAACAACCAGTCAATACCCCTGAGCGTTTGCACAATTCTCAGAGATGAAGAAATTTATAATCTTATTGAAGCAGAGCAGGTAAGTCTCTTTTGAGAAGAGAGGGAACACTATACACTAACTGCGATTGAATGCACTTAAGCCATAGCCAGATGATCCTTTCAAACAAGAATATTTGTAAGTAATCAATATTTAAACAAAACATAATCTGTTCTTACCTTGTAATTTTCATGTTGACATATAGTCATATTAACATATTTACTATTCATAAAAAAAGCTGCATTATTTAAGTTTAAGAGGTTGCTAGTCATGGTGACTATGCAATAATCAGGCTTTCAAGAATATTCATTATTTAGACAATTTTAATTAATCAAATGAAGTTTTAACTTGGAGGTGGGATAAAAGATATCGGTATTCAGATAAACTGTCTTGTCTTTTCTTTGTTTCAGACAAGAGAACTTAATTTTTTACCAATATCAAATTTTAAAAAATAAATCTATTTCTTAACATATATACACACACACACACACACACACACACACATATATATATATATATATATATATATATATATATATATATATATATATATATAAATAAAAAAAAAAAAAAAAATTTTGTAATAATTTGCAACAATTTTAGTTTTTGCTAGAATTTCTGAGAAACATAGGCCAGTTTTCTTGACTTTTAGCTTAACATCTTTTTGACAATGTAGTTTTGATTTGTTTCATTAGGTTGAAGAACGTGAGAAAAATGTACGGTCTCGATACAATGGCCGACAATTCATCTCCTGGATACAAGATGTTGGTGATAAATACGATAAAATAAAGGTAAGGGATTGTTGGTCAACCTTATATTTCTGGTGCTTCCCTGTACCATTGGATTTTACATAGATGCATCATTTATATATATATATATATATATATATATATATATATATATATATAGATATATATATATATATATAAGAATACCCATCTAAAAATTCACTTGTTGATCTCTGCTAGAATATTTATAGGCACTACAGCAGTTTGTTTCTAAATTTCAATCTTGTATGGAACTCAACCACTATTATAATCATAAAATTGTTTTTAATAAATGTTAGCAAATTTCTCTTGACCTATAAAGTTAAATCCTGCTAAATGGATATTGCTACTCCAACCATCTATAATTTAGGTTTTCACTTTTTTGGGATCCCCACATTGATTTGCTCTACTTTTTTGGTAACACTTGTAATATTCAGATTTGTTTAATATTGCTTTTTCTCTTTGAGTTCCAACTAAAGTTCTGATACATTAAGCACTTTTGTTATAGAAAAGTACAAATGCTGTCAGGTTTTTCCAAATTAATAAGGCTGAGATTTTACTATTTAAAAAAAAATTCTTTGTCTATAGAAACTATGTACAAGAGCATGCTGAAAAGCTCTCAGTACAAACAAGAAGCATTTTTCAAAAAAAATTCATGCTTATTCGTAAAAAAACAGAACTTTACAGTACCTTGTAAGTTTTACAATATCTTTTTTGACCTAGAAAGAGAAGTTTTCCTTGTCAATAGTGCAAATGAATTCAATAAGCAGGTGTTCATAAGAAAAGCAAAGAAAAATTACAGAATTAGATAAAACAGTTCAAGCTTTGTAGAGATAGATAAGAGAAATCTGCATAATTATAAATTCCATCTTTGAAGTTTAAACAAATCAATAGAATTACTTTGTTTCAACTGAAATTCATTGTCTTTTTATTTCTTTTTATATATTGTTTGTGTTTATTTTATAGGATTTTTTATTTCAAAGAGACTGGTAAAAATGCTATTATTGTTTTGCGCATAAGTTATAGGAATGGCAAGGTTTAGTTTATTAATGTTTCATACAGTTTTTAGATTCAGGTTTTTCTCTTGTAAAAAAAAAAAAAAATATCCTTTTTATTGAAATTGACAGAGCTCAACCTTATATATGAAATGTGTCTGTTCTTTTCAGGAGTTATTGCTGCTGCGGCACCACCATGAGGCGGAGTCTCTGTTTGCTGTTCAAAAAATGGATTGGGAATGGAAGATGAAGGAAGTGTCTGACATGAACAACGTTCCTGTAATTGATGACCTTCACGTGCCAATGGTGCAAGTTAATGATGACTTTGACCTGCTACCCTCTTAGCAGCAGCAGCAGCAGCACCGGCTTCCTCACCATCTGAGTGTCCAATTGTTGATTTTGACCCCCAAAGCCTCATTCATTTGTGCTGGCCTCACCTATGACACCTGGGAGCCCATGGAAGGGCTCATTTGTTGTGCCCAGCTTCCTCCGTCTTGTACAAGTTCCTTACAGCTGTTTAGCATCTTATGGGGAATACGGAATGCTGCAGAACCACTTTTTACAATTAAAAAACTGCAAAGAAAGACACTAATTTTGCTGTGTTTGATTTAGCTGGACTGGTCAAGACTAGTTTGGCTGACGTGACCACAGTTTGGGGGGTGGGGCAAGGGGTGGGCAGGGTGTAATGACATTGATAGCAGCAAAAAAAATCACAGCTCGAAAGGGAAACAATAGATTTTAAAAAAAGAAAATTCCAAAAATTTCGCCCCTTAAAAAAAAACAAAAAAAAAAACAAAAAAAAAAACAAAAACAAAAAAACAATAAAGTTGATAAGGATTATGTGATCACTATATAATTGATTTTTTTCTTTGTTTATTTTTATTTTCTTTTTGTGTGTAAACACTTGCACAAAAAGTGTGTGTGTGTGTGTGTGTGTGTGTGTATATATATATATGTGTGTACATACATGTACAAACAATTGCTTTTTACCCCTTCCTCTCTCTCTCCCCTACTTAACCAATAGACAAGCTATTTGAAACAAGCCACATTTACAAGACAGAAGCTGAGCTACTGTATGAGCAAATGATGTCATGCCATAAACCTTCAGCCCCAACCCCCATTAACTCGACCCCTCAGGACTGCTATTGGCTCAAGCCAAGCAAGCAAAAAGAAAGCAAGGACAAAGCTAAAAGCCAATCGATTTCAGGGTTGGCTGTTTGTCTCTATCTATCCATCTCTTTCTCTGTTCTGGATGAGAAAAAAAATATGACCAAATCAAGTGTTTTAAGTCTGCTAGCTTAAAAATAAAGACAAAAAATAATTAAAAAAAAAAATGTCTGACATAAAAATAGATTTAAAAGCAAAGCAAGACCAAAAACCACCAAAGAATGAATCACAGACCCAAATACAAGGGTGGGTGGATATTTTTGTGTGTGTGTGTGTGTGAGAGAGAGAGAGGGTGAGAGATGATGCTTTGTCTGATTATCTGGCTGGCTTTGTGTGTATGTATCTGTATTGAAATTTGTAAGACAAGCTTGTCAATTTTTATTTTCTTGCTTTCTTTCTCTCTCCCTCTTTTCCAAATTTTTGCATGCAGGTTTCTCTCTGTCAAAGGGTGGGGCTCTGTCCCACGACACTGGTAAGTAAATAAGAAAGAAAAAAAGGTGTACTTACTCCTTCTTTTAACCTTAGGTGGTTTTTTTTTTTTTTTTTTTTTTTTTTTTTTTCTTTTTTTACATTTGCAAAATCCACGCAAATTTGACACAATGTCATTTTTTTCTTCAATACTTGTGGGTTTTCTTTTTACCTCATCTGCTGCATTTTAATGTGTTGCAAGTGACAAATGCATTGCACCTGTTGTTATCAACCATCTCCACAACTGAACACCCTGCTTCAGATTATAACAAACCTGACCGATCATGGGAGATCAACAGAATACATCAACCATCACTTACTAAATGGCTTGTCTTGCAAATTTCTGGGGATCTACAACCAACCGACACGTTTCTGCTAACTTGTATACCAAAAGTTCTTTCAAGAAATCCTATCCTTTATCTATTCCTCTACCCCCAACTGTCTTTTTATTCCATTTTGAAACCAAAAGGTTTTATGATGGTTACTTGCAGGTATAGTTCAGTGGTTAGGCCAACAGTCTGGTACTTATAAAATCTGTGATACTTGCTGTATATAAAGATCAATTCAAAATTGGAAGCAAAGGCTTTTTCCCTCTTTTGTAAATATTGCAATTGTCATTCATTATTCTGACATGATAGAAACTGGAATTTGATTCTAAATTGGAAAGAAGCCTCCTTTCAAAATATGCAGTGCTTAAGTTATCATTTAGATTTTCAATCACAGACAAAAAGCTCTCTCTTTGGATCAGTTGAGTTTTATTGAATATGCTATACTTACAAAATATAAATATTCTCAAGTGGGTTCTTCTGTTCAAGTAGTCCGGACAGCTCAGTTTTGTTCATTAAAAGTAAAAACAATTTTGCAATATCAAAGTGGTGTTAATTTTGAGCAGCCACAAGGAAACTATCATATGCTAATCACCAACACTACCACCATCATCACCTGCCAACAAGTTGGTTTCAGTTAACTCTAACAAAATGTTAGGAATTCAACTTGTTACTTTTTCTCTCTCCCCTCCCCCCCCCTCATGACAAAAAAAATTTGTTTAATCATTTTGTATTTCCTATCCAATCATCACCATTCCCCTATTTTGAAATTACCTTCCACCAAATTTCATATACTTTTTACAATTCCATTGATTAAAGGTTTGTTGGTTACTTCTGCTCTGAAAACAGATTTTTATGGTCAGTAAAACTATTGTTTCACATTAAAACATTTTATATATATATATATATATATATATATGTTTTTTTTCTCTCTCTCTTAAATTGATGCCATCTTTTCATTTAAACTGCAATGGATGTACTTTGTATTGTAACACTAGGCCAAGAACAGACTTGTTCCAATTACTAAATGTATCACTACACTCTTTGTCCTTTTATAACTTCAGTCAAGAACCCTTGGTAACAATACTAGATATAAGATGGTGGGTATAAAGTGGTTTGATATGTGCACCTCTTTGCTGCTTTTGTGCTTTCACTGCTTCACTTTTCTTTTCTGATCAGGATATAGCACTATGGTTAGGAGTGTTGGCCAGTTGTCCTAATTACTGGTCTGCAAACATCCTCTAAGAAACTATTTTTCCTTTTTATTGTGTTTAGATAAAATCTGAAAGTCCCAAAATCACAAATGAAACCTGGAATACTTAAAATGATTTTAACAAAACGTAGCTTATTTTAGCTGATAGTTAAATAGGTGTTTCAAACTAGTGTCTCCCTTTCTCTAATTCTAAGATTTAACATGCATTTGGCTGAACTTCAAAATCGCATATAACTGACAATGATAAAACAACGGTCGTTCATTCTCCCACCTTTTCCTCAAAAGTTGGCGTGATAATCTACTGGGCTGTTCTTGCTGTTGCTGCTACAATATTATCTTCCTATTTCTCTTCTCTGGCAGCCTCAACAGAATTCATTAAAATCCCCCCCCCACTTTAAATATGTGTGCATATAATTCAATCTGCTAGTTTTGTTACCAATGATGTATTGGTACAATTAGATAATTTACTTTCTCTAAAGGTCCCTATTATCCCAGAAAGTAGATGGTCAACTATCCACTTGAGAGAATTTTGATGACTTATTTCTCAAAAGCTGTTCTTCCTATTAGACCACTGGCAAATGTTTTCTGTAAATAAATGATACAACCATTGGTTGGTTTTTAGTGGGGATGGGGTTTGAAATTGTTCTACATAAGAAACCACACCAATCAGGTGGAAAGGTCTTTATATAAAACGATTTAATCTTGGGGGTTTTTAGAAATAAGTTTTGATTTTTGAATAAGGAAGTAATTTGTTGTCATTTTCACTCTGCAATTGGGTGGGTTGCAAGTGGATATATCACCATATCTAATTATATTCAAATTAATATTCAGGTCCAATTCTTTAAGAACCCCTCAACCTATCTAATTTCTAAAAACTAGTTAATTTAATGAGTTCTTTTTCCCAACCCCAATCTCTGTATCATAAAATCAGGTCTCTCTGCATTTAATTCTGTCAAGTCACTTAGGGGCTCTGCTCACCCTCACATGAACATGGGGGTGAGCAGAGCCCCAAAATGACAATGTGTCACAATATAAATGTCTTAAAGTAGTTTAAAGAAAATCATACTACAATTTTGCTTGTAATTTAAATGGAACAGCTTTTTTATTTTTTTCTTCAAAAATGAACATGCTTTTATATGGCCTGTCATCAAAATCTTTATCACTATCTTGGAACAATGATTAAACAGTAGCTAATATACTACAAGAATTATTTTATTGAGCTGCAATTTATGGCTATTTGTAAAACACTAGTTTGATTTTTTATATCAATCCTATTTTAAGGATACAATTTTTGAAAGCAGCTTTGAATCTGGTAGGGTAGGTAACTCAAAACTAGCTTGAAAATGAAAACTGATTCATGGCTGTTATTTCTGCATTCTCTTTGTAGATTATAAATAGGGTTTTGAAAATTTTCTATAAAAATGTTAACATTCTTTTCAGATTCCCTCTTCTAACTGAATAAAAAAGAATTATGATTTGAAGTTTATCCTGGGTTATTTTGAAATTATAGCTGAGATTCCATTTAAAACACATACACATTGTATCTGCCTCATCAAAAGATTTGAAAATGACACCCTGACAGGTGAAAAGTATAAAAAATTTTCAGTTCAGTTGGGGTGGAAGGAGAGTACCTAAAAAAGCAAATTTCTTAGGTCTGAAGATTAGGTTACCACAATGACTGAAATTAGCTAAACAAAATATTTAAAATAGCATTTCAAAACTTCCCCACTAACACATTGCAGTCTAAATTAGCATGAATTAAAGCATTTGTCCATAATTTTTATATTAGATCTACAGCTACACAATGGAGATGTTAGTTTTTTTTTCTTTTTACAATCATTAATGTTACATATTCTTTTATGAGCAGAACTCAAGAAAATCTAACTAGTATCTTCTGTTCATTTTAAGGGTTGAACAAAAAACATTGAATGTTTCATGGCATCTAAGATCTGGAATGTATTAGTGGTGTAATGGATTGCAACTTCAAAGTTGAAATTCCAATCAAGTTAACCTTATGTTAGATATTCTATATCTTCTCCCTTAGCTATGGGTTCTATAGCCTTTGTTAGCAACCATTTTAGAAATGGTGACTCTATAAAGTTACACATCCCCCAGCAGCCTGGGCCACCCATGGGGATACATCAGCCCATAAAAACACTGTGACTAAAATT